TAGGCACGCGCATGCATGTCTGAACTAGCGAAGACCATTCATCTGAATCTGTTGTGACATCCAATTTTCCACTTCTCTTCTCTCTTCAGTGTTCTTAGACCGCGTGTTACACCTTACCTGCGCCAAACTAGGCAAACATCGACGGTCGAAAACTACCAGCAGACGGATTGCTCTCATACGTAAGTCTAGTGTGAGTGGGGAGATTGAGGACAGATCGGGAGACACGAGCCACACTCGCGTTTTAGCAGCACCAGTTTTTTATTGCACACAACTTGTGTGATTAACAACAGACGGAGTAAACCCTATAGTCACGAGGACCTGCTGTTCCGTCATGGAATCAGACGCACCGAGCCCCAGGAGTTGGAGTGGAGAATCACCTGAGGTCCCGCTAGGTTAGGCGTGGTACTGAGCCGGAAGACAGCGAGAATATCTACCACCAAAGTTGGGGGGGGGTGTTCGGAAACCTTAGACCCTAGGGCCAAGAACACCCTGGTGATAGCGACTTAAATCACCTGACCACCACCACCACCCGTTGCGCTGAAACCCTCCAAAGCAAAAATAGGGAGAAAGGGGTGAAAGTGATTGGGGCATATACATTTACTAGATTTAAACTAGCTAACTATCAAAGGGGGATGAGCGGACATGAGTCAAAAGGAGGACAAGTGGGGACGGAAGTTGAATAAATCAATGTTTCGGCCTACATCAAGTAGGTAGGTCTGTAGCGTTCATCTGCTAGAACATGAATATATTTGTACCATGTAGTTCACATCAGAATGACCAAAGAAGCAAATGCTTGGATTGGTGAAACGTGTTGCGTTTCAGAGGCAGATAGTTGCACTGTTCTAAGGATAACTTAGAAAAACTAACCTATTAAACAAAGTACACTTCGAGTAGCATTCCTCTCCTCTCGCTTGCTGTACTCGTAATTTTTAAATCCGAATCATTAGATAGCATACAAAATGTAAGATGAAATGCACAAACACATGAGTGAAACGGGTCCAAAATCCGCTTTCTAAAATACAAAATTTGGTACAAAGATCATACCAGTGGAGCAACTGATCGGTACCGGCACAAGGGTCAACTATCATTGGCACTAGCTTTCAAGTGCCAATTCCCGAAAATAATGCAACCAATGAAGATAACGACAGACCTGGAATGCTAAAGCATTTTAGAGGGACAAGTCTGGGAATGCGAAGGGTTGGGCAAAGTTGTACGTAACGTTGTCCATCTCGAAGAGTTGTTAAGTGCCATGGCTGTTGTAACCTATTTCAGAGGCGGTTTACTTGGTAAAAATGAGAACAAAGCACCTGCCTATGAACACCTAGAACCGTGCGTACAATTTCTAAAAACTAAAACTATATACGGTTGAACGACCTGATTCTATTGTATGAAGCACAATAAATTAATATCATTAGTGGCGCTGAAGTAAGGTCTCGGCTAGGAATGATATATAGACAGAAGAATGCGGTTTTAATGGAAAGAAAGCCTAGAAGTATATAAGCGGAGTCTGTGTGTCGACAATGTCAAATGACGGAGTTTCCACTAGGTCGAGGGAGCTGATATTCGGTCTGATATGAAGAGTGAGTTTGTTCACATTGACAGAATCAAGTTCAAGTAACTATAGATACTGAACAGGCAACCGAAGTCTCTGTCAAGATGTAGATCAACATTTATCTTTCGGAACGACAATGTCCCAGCACATCTATGTAAGAATGACCGATTATAGTAACTGTACCATGACGTGCGCGTATTGTAGTCCTGTGAAAACAAGACTTCAAGATCAACGATCACGGACGGGATCATGCCAGGGGGAAAATGTCGAAAACTTCGAAAACTCAAAACTATCAAAGTTAACAAGAGTGCTTGGCAGAAGTTGGGAACAAATTTCCCAAAAGCACATATCAAGCCTTAACGAAGTGCGCTACGCAGATTGGATGATATCGTTTTTGAGATCGATTTATCCGGTGGAGTGGGGGTCTCATTTCTTGACCACGTGTCTCTTTCACTGAAATATTTTCAGGAAGTGGATAGTAGTTAGTTGGTTCATTCATTTGGTCACCGAACACTTACCATATTCTCTGGACGAGTTGGATAGGCAAATGAGACATCCTCAAAACGTAGTTGTTGAAAAAACAATTCGGGTTTCAAACCACCACCGCGATTGTCGATAGGAGGTTTCTAGAGAAAGGGAGATGCAAGTGTACCATTAATTCCGAGGAGAAATACTAGCAAAACATAACGAGTATTACGAGACTGATTGATTGATAAAATCAATCGAATGGTCGAAGGCGTCCACTGCAATACACTTAAAATGACATTCAGCAGGAAACATGCAAAGTGCAAATAAGATGCTAATGATCCTGCAATTTCCCTTCAAAGTTGACGAAATCAGTTGGCTGATTACCAAGCGCTTAAATGCGCTCGTTAGCTATACCTATGATACAACTGAAATCACAGTTGTTTTCACAACCTCCCGGTTTCCACCACCATCATTGAAAGAAACGCTACCTCCGCACGTAACACAAGTGTGGAACTAGCCTTTCAAAAGTTACCATTCCAAACGGTTTCAGTGTGAATTTCTAATCATTCTGGCACTATCCTAACGAAAAACCGCGTTTGATGAGTAACGTTGTTCGCAATATTTCTGCACCTAAGATTTTGTGGTTTCTGAACATATAGTACGGATCACTTAAACTGTAAATAGGCACGTGCACCGACACGAAATGGTTCAGGATGCATTTGTGAAAACCTGATTTCGTTTATTATTCAAATACCACTGAACCTCATCGAATTGGTACAAACTTCAAAAAGAAGTGGGCATACTGGTCACATAGAGTTGCGTTGGATTAATTTGCAGTTTTTGTATTCACTGAGACCGTGAGCAGCACCTGATTTGAATGTTTCAGGTATACTTGTTCTAAGTTTGTCGACACAGACTGAACTCAGACGCTGGTGAAATAATAGTGATGATATCCAGTCTGCCGATATCGTTCGCTGAAAACTAGAATAAAGCACAGAGTTCCATGATCGCAGATCACAAGTGAAATGAGTTGATACAGCAGGGGTATCGGAGAAATTTGCAGAAATCCGGACAACCATTTATCTCACGTCACTTTTACCAAGAACTGGGGATGGGTAAAATAAAGTTGAAAGCTTGGCTTGTAATTCACACTTGCGGCAGTCACCTGTTTCGTTTGCTATTTACGCGGCGAGTCGCGCACGGAAAGCGAGTGATCCTTAAAGTGACCAAATGTGCTGCCATTTCAGGTTTCATTGTCAAGTACGACACGATTCGCATCAGTCACGTGCGAGGTTCTGTTCTACGCTACCAAGGTGATCGAACGCAAAAATTGTAATGAATTCGCGAGTCAAATTGACACTACGTTAAACCGATTCGCGGTCGGTTTGTTGGCAATCAAAATTTGAGATGGAGTGTGGGTGAAAAGAGGAGACCATAAACATTTGGATGACATTGATCAATGTAACAAAGAATAACGCTTCTTAGGTACCCAGTTGGTCTTGTAACTATGGTAGTTAAGTGAAACAAAATATATCGGTAAATGCGATGACAAACAGGAAGAAAGATTTCGAAGGAGCAGGAAACCA